CTTCTGCTGCCCCCAAAGTGGCTCAGGCAGGCAGCGGGGCAAGAGGGGTGCCTGGGGGGAGCAGCCGAGATGGCAGAGGGGCTGGCAGAGGCTGTGTGGCACCAACCCCCACCAAGGCTCCATCGGATGGGCGGAGGGCGAGGCCGGGCAGTGTGGAGTCCCGGCTAGGGCGACTACTTCCTCGCCCTCCTCCTCTCCTTCCTCCTGCTGCCCCCCAGGCAGCTTGGGCGGGCGCTGCCTCCACCATGGCTCCATCTATGGGCGGAGGGTGAGGCCGGGCAGCACAGAGTCCTAGTGGGGGCAGCAGCCGGGGCGGGGTGGCAGGGACCCCTACGATACTGCTGTGCCACTGTCGCTGCCGCCAGAGCCGCTGCCTCCTGTCCTGCTCCCCCTCCCCGCCTGTTTGGCTGAGGATGTGGCGGCCGGGCCGGGGGTGGCGGTGAGCAACCCTGACGATCCTGCCGGGCTGCCACCGCTGCCACCGGAGCCGCTGCCTCCTGTCCTGCTCCCATCCCCGCCCGTTGGGCTGTGGACGCGGCGGCCGGGCCGGGGGCGGCGGTGAGGAACCCCGACGATGCTGCTGGGCCACCGCTGCTGCCACTGGAGCTGATGGCTCCCGTCCTGCTCCCCCTCCCTGCCCCTTTGGCTGAGGACGTGGCAGGCCAGCGGCCGGGCTGTGGGCAGTGTCGAGGAACCCTGATGATGCTGCTGTGCTACCGCCACCACCGCTGCCTCCCGTCCTGCTCCCCCTCCCTGCCCGTTCAACTGAGGACGCGGCGGGGTGGTGGCCGGGCCGGGGACGGCGGTGAGGAACCCCGACGATGCTGCTGGGCTGCCGCTGCTGCCATCGGAGCCGCTGGCTCCTGTCCTGCTCCCCCTCCCCACCCCTTTGGCTGAGAACACGGCGGGCTGGCGGCTGGGCTGGGGGCAGCGGCGAGGAACCGTGATGATGCTGCCGTGCTACCGCTGCTGCCGCTGCCCCCCATCCTGCTCCCCCTCCCCGCCCGTTCAACTGAGGATGTGGCGGGGTGGCAGCCGGGTGGGGGGACCCCCCAACAATACTGCTGTAAGAGAGAGAAAGAGAGAGAGGAAAGAGAGAGAAACAGAGGAAAAGAAAAAGGAAAGAGAGAGAGAAAGAGAAAGACAGAGGAAAGAGAAAGAGAAAGAGGGAAGAAACAGAAAGAGAAAGAGAGGAAAGAGAGAGAAAGAGAAAGAGGGGGAGAGGAAAGAGAAAAAAGTGGAAAGAGGGAAAGAGAGGAAAGAGGGAGAGAGAGAAGAGAGAGAATGAGAAGAGAGAGAGAGGAAAGAGAAAGAGAAAGAGAAAGAGAGAAAGAGAGAGGAAAGAGAGAGGAAAGAGAGAAAGAGGAAAGAGAAAGAGAGAGAGGAAAGAGAGAGAGAGAAAGAGGGAGAGGAATGGCACTTCTCCAACCAGGCTGGGCGGAGCCGGCGGAGCAGCCTTCCTGCCCCCCCCTCCCTGGCCAGCTAGATGGGGGGTTGGGGGTCATCACAACATGAGGAACTGTATTAAAGGGTTGCGGCATTAGGAAGGTTGAGAACCACTGCATTAGATGCCACCAAGATTATTTTTCACTATCTCCTGTCACTTAGTGATTTCCAGGATGACTTGGTCATCCTAGCATACGTGTCTCATCTTAAAGAACTAAAAAAGTAGCACATCTGGATCATCTTTGGACCACCTGGAGATCTTTGAAGCAATGGGGTTCTCCAGGCAGTGTGTGAAACAGAGTCAGCTCTTTGTTCATTTTTAGCCCTTGTGAGTGCTTTAATGTGCTTATTACCCAGTGTTGACTAGAAGGTTCAGTTCTTTGGCCAGAGACCTACAAACTAGCCACATCCCAGCTAAGCATCAAGAAAATGCCTTGTCCCTTTTCTCAAACAGCTTTGAAGCTTGATTAATGTCACTCCAATTTGGCACTGTCCATCGTGATGGTGCTTCTTCTGGCCCACTTGAGGATTGGCCTCGCAATTAGACGCTGGTGTGAAATAATATTGTCTTAGTTTAGTAGTCTGTAGAGAAGACACTTTCTCCTGTCAATCAACAAGGAGCCTCTTTCAGGTCTGACAACTTCATTTTGTTTACTTCAGGATCCGAGCGCGTCTTTTTCTCATGCATCTCTTCCCTGTTTAAATAATCTTGGATGAAACTTGCTCCAAAACGTGCTCTACCAGCTCCATCTGTCAAGGGGAATAATTGGTTCAGAGCTGGAGATGAGCATGTGTTATTAGCCTTGGAGGGGAAGGGTAAACACTAAAAGGCTTATAAAGACTTCCTTGTGGAAAAGAGCTCAAGACACACTCAGAACAAGCATCGTTGTTCAACGTTCATTTCAGTGCAATGTATTTTTTTCTCCTTGTTGGAAATTTGCTTTCCTTAAGCACTGGAGTAAAGTCAGAACGTTTAGCTGTTGGTTCTGTTGGGTTTGTCCAAAGACTCTAGTTCAACCTCAATTGTCCTTCACTGATGAAGTTACCCAGTTGGGTAATGAAATGTCTGCAAACACATACATAAACAATCATGCTCAGAGAACATCAAGAGCTCCACAATTCAGTCAGATACAGATCTTTTCTTCAAAAGGAATATGAAGCAATCTATTCCTCCTTATTTCTCCTAATGGTCTTGCTAGGAATAGATCCTTGTTTTCCCAGGACCAATCAGATGCCTCTTTGGAACACCAGGAGGAGATTTGAGAATGGCGAGCCCATTCTCCACAAGGAAGAGGGAGTCAACCTATTCTCCAAAACACCCAAAGGCAGAACAAGAAGTAATGGATGGAAACTAATCAAGGAGAGAAGCAACCTGGAATTTAAGGAGAAACTTCCTGACAGTGAGAACAATTAACCAGTGGAATGGCTTCCCTACAGAAGTTGTGGGTGCCTCATCACTGGAGGTGTTCAAGAAGAGACTGGACAGCCACTTGTCTGAAATGGTATAGGCAGGGTCTCCTGCTTGAGCAGGGGGTTGGGCTAGAAGACCTCTGAGGTGCCTTCCAACTCTGTTATTCTCCAATGCTTGGCTCCTTAGCAACAGTTCTCCAAGAACAGTTCCTCTTTGCGAGCCTAGAATTTCTATTTCACACCATCAGAAGTGTGGGGAGAAGTCTCCTGTTGAAGAATAAGACAATGCTCCCTTCATATCAGCTGATATGCATCTTGTGGGAGACCTGCAAAAGAGCATTGTTGGATTCTGGCTAAACATACGCTCAGGCGACTACTGTTTGGCAGGCTTCATTTTTCAAGTTGTCAATTTGTCAAGTCTCTTAAGTGTGGCATTGTAGGAAAGCCGAGATGTTGCGTCTTCTAAGCCAATTGTGATGGATCTCCTTTCAGAAAGCAGTGACAAGGTTCCTAATTCACTTGGAGATGGGGTAATAAACCAAATTTCCATTCTCCATGTGCTCGCACCTCTTTACTATGACGGCCTTGTGCAGCACATGGAAGAGACTGCAAGAGACCCCTGACTGAGGAGGCCATCAACATCAACCCCATGCTGTGCCTCAGCCATAGACAGGTGTCTAGTCTCTATCTGAACTCATCCTGTGAATGGGAGAAGGTATAGCAAACCTTTCACTCTGTCCTCCATCGCCAGAGAAGAGCAAAGGAGGCAGTAGCCAGCATATTCTCACAGAGGCCATCTTCAAAAAGATCCTAAATATACTTAAAACAATTTATTATAGACAAACCGCTATAAGTAATTGTAAATGGAGATTTTACAGAGAACTTTAACATTAAAAAGGCACAAGACAAGGGGGTTCATTATCTCCACTGTTATATATTTAACTTTGGAAGTGCTGAACAGAAATGTCAGACAGGACCCAGAAATTAAAGGAATGGAGATAAGAGACGAAAAATACAAATTACAAGCGTTGGTGGATGATTTGGTATTTAGATTAGGAGAGACAAGCCCTAAATCATTGACAAAGATAGAACAATTGGGAGATGTAGCAGGATTGAAAATAAATAGAGAAAAGACTAGAGTGGTAGTTAAAAACCTTACAAAAAAAAAGAGGAAGGTCCTAAAATTACAGCTTCCTCGCTGACAGCTTCTTTTCATACCCCAACCAAAAGAAAAAAACAGTCTTGAGTGGTCACCTGCATACAGGCAATCCTTGACTTTCAACCACTTGTTTAGTGACCATTCAAAGTTACCACTGCACTGCAAAAAAGCGACTTACGCCCATTTTCCACACTTGCAACCTTTGCGCCATTCCCCAAGGTCACGTGATCAAAATTCAGGACTCCTATTAATGACGGTCGCATAATGATGAGCCCGTTTTGCAACTGCCTGAGAAGCAAAGGCAATGGGAAAGGCAGATTCGTTTAATAACCGTGTTGCTCACTTAACAACCGCAGTGATTCTTCATTGTGGAAAGAAAGATCATAAAAGCGCCTGAGGGCAGGACAAGAAGCAATGGATGGAAACGAATCAAGGAAAGAAGCAACCTAGAACTAAGGAGAAACTTCTTGACAGTTAGAACAATTAACCAGTGGAACAACCTGCCTCCAGAAGTGGTGAATGCTCCAACACTGGACGTTTTTAAGAAGAGACTGGACAGCCATCTGTCCGAAATGGTATAAGGTTTCCTGCCTGAGCAGGAGGTTGGACTAGATGACCTCCAAGGTCCCTTCCCACTTTATTATTATTATTATTATTATTATTATTATTATTATTATTATTATTATTATTATTATTATTATTATTATTATAATAAAATGGGGCAAAACTCGCTTAACAACTGTCTTGCTCGGCAACAAAAACATTGGGCTCAGCTGTGATCATAAGTCACGTGCTGTTCCAGAAATGCAGGAGGAGAGGCCCTCTCTAGGGAAACTTGTAGAAAATTGGTATCCTGTGTGGAGGGAAACGGACTAAGTTTGGAATATCAAAGCCAAGATGTTTTGACCAAACATGATTCTTTTGTTTATTTTTGGGGTTCAATTCTAATAAAACCATTTCTCTTTTATTTGTTAATTTTCCCCAGCGCCGATGAACGTTTTGATGCTACTTTCCACACAAATGTTTTGGTCAACTCTTCAGGATACTGTCAGTATCTTCCTCCAGGTATGAATTATTGGCATATTGGGAAAATTAACACCTGTCTCAAGAGTCCTTGCATGCTTCCAACAATGAGATATGATTTTTGGAAGAGTTAGATAAGCTCTTTTTTTTAAAAAAAAAAATCAGCCATCCCTGCTGTTGTTTCAATATGATAACAGGGATAGAGATAAACATACTTCCAGGTCAGAGGTCCTTCAAACCTACAGAGATGCAGAGATAGCCATGGCAAGATTAACCTTTAGAAATATTTATAGAAAAGTAATATAAAGTCAGTCTCTTAGATAAAAAATACAAGCAGGAATCTAGCTGGAAATATGTAAAGGGGCAAACAAACCAAAAATCACAGAAATAAAATGAAAAATAAAATAATAGTTACAGGAAGGGGGGAAAGCAACTGGTAGTAATAGTAATAGTAATATAGTAAAGTTGGAAGGGACCTTGGAGGTTATCTAGTCCAACCCCCTGCTCAGGCAGGAAACCCTACACCATTTCGGACAAATGGCCGTCCAGTCTCTTCTTAAAAACTTCCAGTGTTGGAGCATTTACTGCTTCTGGAGGCAAGCTGTTCCACTGATTAATTGTTCTCACTGTCAGGAAGTTTCTCCTTAGTTCTAGGTTGCTTCTCTCCTTGATTAGTTTCCACTTGTTGCTTCTTGTCCTGCCTTCAGGTGCTTTGGAGAATAGCTTAATTCCCTCTTCTTTATGGCAGTCCCTGAGATACAGAAAGGAATCACTGTGATACTAGTAATGTTTTATTTTGCAGGGAACACACAATATTTTTAAACAAATCAGTTGTAAATTTGGAAGGGTGGACGTTTTGCATTCTGTATTTTTCTTTTTAAAAAAGTGAATGATTGACATATTCTTTTCTTCTTTTTTTCCACTTCAACCTAGGGATTTTCAAGAGTTCTTGCTCCATCGATGTCCGATGGTTTCCTTTTGATGTCCAGAACTGTAAATTGAAGTTTGGATCCTGGACTTATGGAGGCTGGTCTCTTGATCTCCAGATGCAACAAGCAGAAATCTCTGGATACATTTCAAATGGAGAGTGGGATTTAGTGGGTAAGCTAAATCTGGGGATCTTCTTCACAAACAGGACTTCTTTTTTCCCCAGTTTAATAGTGGATGGCTCACAGTGGTATAAAACCAACAGCAGGCAAAAAAGTAAAGCAAAGAACAATGAAAAAGAAAGAAAGAAAGAAAGAAAGAAAGAAAGAAAGAAAGAAAGAAAAGGGAGGGAGGAATGAAGAAGAAAGAGGAAAGAAAAGGAAGGAAAGAAGGAAGGAAGGAAGGAAGGAAGGAAGGAAGGAAGGAAGGAAGGAAGGAAGGAAGGAAGGAAGGAAGGAAGGAAGATGCATTCACATAGACCCCAGTTAACTCTTCATGACCATAGTCTGTGGACTCCCGGCCACCAGGACATTTGAGGGCTGACAATGACAATAGAGAAAAACTATTGGGTGTGATTGCTAAAAAAAAAAAATGTCTCACCAAGCCCTGAAGAAGACTACTCTTTAAGACTCTTCAGGGATCTACAGCTCCATGGTGTACCAAGAGTAGGCCAAGGGAGAAATCCACCCTGGGTGCAGACAATAAGGGGGTGCATTAGGTGAGGAGGCTATTCAGAGGGTCTCTGGTGGGTGTGGATTGGGTTCACTCATGGTAGCACATGGGTCAGCTTCTTGGTGGACAGCAACACCGCAATGGTGATGAATCAAAATGGTCAATGGTGGTGTGGTCATGTCAGCCAAGATCCTGCAGCTGCTGTTCATCCATCTCAGGTGTCAAGGATGCTTTGAAAGGTCCTTGAAAAAAAAAAAAGACTAAATGTTGAAAATGGGCAGGGCTGGAACAAAACCTAAAAATCTCAGTAGTGTTATCCTACCTGGGAGAATCGTTATGGCAGCGAGAAAGTTCACAGATGCTGCTTTACTGCACCCTCTATGAAAATTTGTGTTTTTATTGCCCCATTATAAAAACACGACAGCTGAGGGGGGCGGGGGTCTGCTACCACAATTTGATACTACTTAATTGTCCATATTCCTGATCGTTCATTAAAAGCAGCCCAGGTTTTGTGCGGCTGCCAATCTGAACAGGAAGCGTTTGCTAATTTCACTGGAGGCCTCTCCGATTCCTATATAAAGTTGTAAATTATTAAGTTGGAAGATTAAAAATGGGCCACTCTGTCCATCTTTCTGATGAGAGCTAATAACAAAATATGAGACTGGGGAATAGCTTTACAATCTCGGTAGCTGATTCATGAAAGACAGCTTGAGTGATATGATTGTTTTTATGAGAGTCGGATATTTTGAAGTGTTTTTATCTTCTCATTGCTCCACTCTTCCACATTTGCTGAATGTGCATTGATTCAGTTTGACTGTTGGCAGCTAAACAACTCTCTCCACCTTCTCTTTCTCGTCCTTCTCCTCCTCCTCCTCCTCCTCCTCCTTCTCCTTCTCCTTCTCCTCCTTCTCCTCCTCCTCCTCCTCCTAGCCTGATCCAATGGCTGGTCCATCTGAATTTTTATTCTTTCCACGCAGGAGTTCCAGGCAAGAGGACAGAATCCTTCTACGACTGTTGCAAAGAGCCCTATCCAGATGTGACCTTTACAATCACAATGCGACGGAGAACACTGTATTATGGACTTAATCTTCTCATCCCGTGTGTCCTGATCTCAGCGCTTGCCCTTCTGGTGTTTCTGCTTCCAGCTGACTCTGGAGAGAAAATTTCACTTGGTAAAGAGATGGTTCTGGTTTTTTTTGAAGCAAGTTTTTCTCTCTGAAGGTCACCTCCAGCTTTTAACATCAGTTAGAAAGAAACTTTCAGGACGTTGTAGAAGAATTGGATCAGGAGTGGGGAATGAAGAAAGTCAAACCAACAGCCGAGAAAACTGTAGCCCATATAACTTTTATAACCTTGGAGCTATAAAAAATTCATTTTTTAAAAAATGTTGGTCACCAAATCTGCTTCATTTGCTAACTGGCCAAGAAGAGGACCGAGTTTCTGTTTCTAGCTGTTAGACTTGCTATATTCAACTGTAAAAATCTAGATGAACTTAATTGCAGCTAAGTTTCTCTTAATTATTTGCTGTAATCCAATGTTTGTCTTGATTTTTGGAGCCAGATATGGTAATCAAGTCCCAGTCATATCATTAGCCAAAGGAATTCAGCAGTTTGAAACTGGAACAATAGAGCTAAACATTCTGATTCCCACGATGTGCAGACATGGGCGAGAGAAAATAACTTTGCCAAAGATGCGGCTGTGTTGACAGCAGAAGTGAGTTTCAGACTAGGCATTTCCAAATGGGTAGTTTCTTTGCCACCCCGTGTATTACCTACTCATGAGCAAGTTCCATTTTGCTCAATGAGGATGTCTCCCAAGTAAATTCATAGCGGATTACAACCGCCTTCTTGTTAGACTTTTTCACCAATTAAGAGTGCGGACACATCACTGGTTTTACATCCTTATCTCACAATGGACACAAAATCTTAATTTAATGCATGTTTGTAGCAATTGTTTGAAAAAAAGAGCATAAGGATGATTCATTTTGGCCCTCCAGTTTGGCATGTGTCTCTGTCCAACAGATGAGCAATGTGGAATCAAGTGCCAAAGGATACCATTTGTAAATCTTCTTCATCATCACCCTGAACTTTTTCCAAGTCCACATTGCATAGCATATGGTGGCTTCTTCCTCTCGCTTTCTCTCCATTCCCTTGTTTTTCTCAACATGAACAAGATTCAAAGGATAGCTACTAAATATTTTATATTTTGTTGCTCAGCAGGCAGCAAAGCCAGGAGGATGGGAAAATGTGTGGTAATTTGCCTGCTAAATATAAATAGGGTTGCTATTGCCAGGGGCCTACAAGGATCACCCTCTATGAGATGGGGTGGGTGGATCTTCTTTCTCCTGAGAGCATTCTTGCAAGTGAATTAAGATTTCACCAGCCCTGTCGGTAGTTGTGTAGAGTAAATGAACAAGAAAAACTGTCTATAAAAAGTGATAGAAAGAACACTATGATGGGTCAAAGACACCCCCAGCTGGAATTATCTTCCCACAAAGTCTTTTATCATTAAGAGGTGTCACCTTATAAAACCTAACATCCAGTACAATCAGCCTTTTCTCCTTCTCTTCTTTGAGGCATTGATGAAGAACCTCAACTATTCCAGGCTCCATCTGTATCTTCCCTTTGTCTTCTCTCGTCCAAAGTTAACACTTCCAGTCTCAATGTCTATGGAGATTCTCAGTTATCCAGATCATAGTTGTCCCAAAGATGCTTTTCCATGAGGCAACTAGACTTTCTTGTTTTTCTTTGAAGATGTTTCGCTTCTCATCCAAGAAGCTTCTTCACAGCTGTAGAAGCTTTTTGGACGAGAAGCTAAACATCTTCAAAGAAAAACAAGGAAGTCTAGTTGCCTCCTGAAAAAACATCTTTGGAACTTCCAGTCTCATCAATTTTCTTCTTATCCATTCTTGGCCATCCTTTTGGGTACTTGCCAATTGCACCAGGCATCTTTTAGATGTGTTTGAATGGCCAACAGGAACATCTGAAAGACATCAGGGGTGGGTGAGGTTGCGTTCCATCCTGTGGAGGGATTGAGATTTTTCATGATACAGTATATTTCAATGTTTCTCAACCTTGGCCACTTTCAGATGTGTGGACTTCAATTCTCAGATTGAAAATTGGAAGATGAAGCCTACACATCTGGAAGACACCAAGGCTGAGAATGTTGGTATATTTAGTCACTTTTGTTCAACCTCAGAAATTTCTGTTCTGTGCCCTGGGTCCAACCCAATCATTTCTTTTCCAGGAATCACGGTTTTGTTATCCCTCACTGTTTTTATGCTTCTGGTGGCCGAAATCATGCCAGCAACATCGGACTCTGTGCCATTAATTGGTAAGTCCCTTTCAAAGAATTAAGCTCTTTTCCATCATGCAACACAGCCTCAAAGAGAACCAATTTAGGAAGCTCGTGTCTTATGTAGTTTAGCTTTTAGATTAAACAATTCAGAAATCTGACTTTGGAGTGGAAATAGGGAACCTTAATCTCTTTTTTTTCATTGGTCCAGAAGTCATGGTGGGTGGATGGGGGAGTAGAATGGAAGGCACAGAAACTCCTGGACTATCTGAAATTAGGAGAAGCTACACAGAATCACATTTAGTAATATTGAAAAAAAGGGAGAATATTCACAAAATTGAAGTGTCTTTAACAAAATATTCCTACTTCTTGGAAATGACAAGGCTGCATACACACATACACACACACACACACACACACACACATGTGATGGAACATGAATTTGGGTAAACTCCGTGAGACAGTGGAGGACAGGAGGGCCTTGTGAGCTATGGTCCATGGGGTTGTGAAGAGTCAGCCACAACTTAGTGACAACAACAGCAAAAAGATGAAACATATCTAACAGAGCAGTGGTTCTCAACCTTTTTAATGCCGCGACCCCTCAACTGGTGGTAAGTCGAGGACTACTCAACCGGTCATAAGTCGAGGACTACTCAACTGGTGCAGCACCGTTTGCAGAATGGGACTTTTGGCAGGCTCAGCAGGGCAGAGACAACCTGGACAATTCCTATTGGCTTTTGAAAGCCAATAGAATTAGACTCTATTCAAGAGAGTCTATTCTATTGACTTTCAAAAGCCAATAGAATAAAAGGGAGTAGCACAGCTAAGGAAAAGGGGGAAAAAATGGCGGACTGCGTTGTTTGGTGACCCCCGTGAAATGGGTGTTCGACCCCAAATGGGGTCCCGACCCACAGGTTGAGAACCATTGTAATAGAGCAATAGGTTGATCTACCACAGGGCTCTTCAAACTTGGCCCTTTTATGATTTGTGGACTTCAACTCCTGGAATTCCTCAGCCAGGCAAACTGGCTGAGGAATTCTGGGAATTGAAGTTCACAAGTCATAAAAGGGCCAGGTTTGAAGACTCCTGATCTACCATGTCAGTCTTTAAAAGACATATTTCTTGTTTCCTTCCATAGCTCAATATTTCGCCAGCACCATGATTATTGTCGGACTTTCAGTGGTGGTGACAGTGATTGTCCTACAGTATCATCACCATGATCCCGAAGGTGGCAAAATGCCAAAGTGGGTAAGCACCTTTTTTTTTCTTTCAAAATCTTATTTTTCCTCCATTAAGAACCATGGAGGCAGGTGAATATCCCCCCTTCCAGGAAATAAGAGATTTTTCCAGGCAGAAGAGAAAGATGTATAGTAATTTCTGCTAGCTGAAGATCAACCAACCGTGGGCTCGTCTCTGTTACATGCCGCCAAGTATCAGGAGCTGTGTATGTTTTATTCATCCAAATACGTTGCTCCGCCTCTTCATCTGTGAAGATCATTCAAGCGGCCAACTCATCATCAATAAATAAAGAACACTGAAAATAAAGGAATATGTAGCTTTCCCCCCTAGCAGGCAGAAAATTCTTTGGCTGCAGAAGCTAACGTTTTTTAAACTTTCAGGAGGCACCTGAAGTACCCTGGAGAAAGGGTCCAAGATCCTTTCCTTCCTGTACGGTTTTGCACAGTTTTTGCAACTACAGCATAAAGTGGTTCTTCTCTCCCCCCCCCAACATCACCAGAAAACAGCCTTCTCTTATTGTTACCAACCTCAAAGAATTCTACATTCAGACTATCCAGATTCTGTTAGCTTTGCAATAAAGGAGAATTAGTTTTGCTTGTCAAGAGTGTTGTCTGGGGTGATGTTCCACTGTGGAATGCATGGGTGAGTCTCAGTGCCCCATAGATATATAATTACAATTTTATTGGGTAAGCATCTGAAGATGATGTGTCTCAACGTCATGCTTTCCTCTTATCTATATACAGGTAGTCCACAACTGAGCCCAGAATTTATGTTGCTAAGTCAAAAATTTGTTGAGTTTTGCCCCATTTTACGACTTTTCTTGCCACATTTGTTAAGTGAATCACTGCGGTTGTTCAATTAGAGACATGGTTGTTAGGTGAATCTGGCTTCCCCTCGTTGACTTTGCTTGTCAGGAAGTCGCAAAAGGGGATCACGTGACCCTGGGATATGATGACTGTCTAGATAAGGGGAGACATAAACCTCAGCTGCTTAACAGATTAAGAAAGCGACTAAGAAGGGATCCATCTCAGTTTATCAGCATCAACATCCAGCTTAAGGATCCAAATAAAAGTCCAGGCTCATTCCATTTTCAAAAACTTACTGTTTATAGAGTACACAGCATGCTAATGCTGAAGCAAAACTAACTCTGAGGTTCCCAGATACCAGTTCATAGAATTAACAATCATTGCTCTGGGCCAACCCCCATCCTCTCATGTAATCCATGTAAACAATTTCACTTTGTTATGGTAACCGTCTGCTTCTTCTCTACACTTGCTGTGGTGCCCTTAGAAAGGTTTCAGTCTCTTACTGTCTTCAGTGGAATCATAGAGGTTTCATTTCTCCATCTTAACCACTTCTAAAGCAACACCTCCTCCTCCCTTTATTCTAATGGCAAGTTGAAATGCAGAGGCACTTAGCTGCCAAAGTTTCCCTCTTGACAATCAGGTCGCAAAGGAGAAGGTCTGAGATTTATACTTTTAGATCTGCAATGTAGCCTTACAATGAAGTAGAATTAGCTCATCTGGTCGTGTTTTCTGTCTGGTACAATTAGGAAGGCTGACAGAAAGACTCTGTCTATCAAAACCACCTGCTTCTCTGTGTTTTCCAGACCAGAATTATCCTCCTCAACTGGTGTGCCTGGTTCCTGAGGATGAAGAGGCCTGGAGAAGGCCGAGTGCGCCCGGCTTGCCAGCACAAACGCCACTGTAGCATTTCAAGTGTGGAGATCAATACGGTCAGCGGTCAGCAATCCAGCAATGGGAATATGTTGTACATTGGCTTCAGGGGTCTGGAAGGTGTCCACTGCACCCCAACCACCGATTCCGGGGTGATCTGTGGAAGAATGGCTTGTTCTCCCACGGATGAGGAGAACCTCCTTCACAACGGGCACTCTTCTGAAACAGACTCGGATCTAGCAAAGATCCTCGAAGAGATCCGGTACATCGCCAACCGATTCAGAGACCAGGATGAAGCTCAAGCGGTTTGCAACGAGTGGAAGTTTGCCGCCTCTGTGGTGGACCGCCTCTGTTTGATGGCCTTCTCGGTCTTCACCATCATCTGCACCATCGGCATCCTGATGTCGGCGCCCAATTTTGTGGAGGCGGTTTCGAAAGATTTTGCTTGACCTGCGCTTGGGGACTGCCCCGAACCCCAAAGTTGGCCATTTCTCAAAAATCTGTTATGTAGCAATAATGTATTTCAGGGCACTTGATTCTATTGCATATGTGGATGCAAACTTTGCTTTTTTTCTTTCCTGGGGGAGGCAGGGGGGAGGGTGAAGGTTCAGGCTAAAAAAAGACAGTCTCATTATTAAGAACCTCAGTGAGGTAACAAGAGCCCCTCCCTCAGTACCTGGACTCACAGCTTTGGTGTCTGGAATAAACTCTTTTAATAAAGTCATCTTGCATCTCAGTTGTATTATTGATTCAACTTCACATATTTTTGTTTTCAAGAGATGATATTATTATTTGTTTGATTTGATTTGGTGCCATGCAACTCCAAACTGTTCTTTAAGCAGTGATGTCACTCATACTGGAAAGCTGTACAAAGAAAGAAAGGAAATCTCCTTCTCCTCCTCCTCCCTCCCCCTCCCCTCTCCCTCCTCCTCCTCCTTTGTTTCCACTTCCCCCCAGAAATTTGGAGGAAGTCAGTCTAACACTTTCTCACATGGTTCTTCTGCACCAATTCTCCTAATCTTCTCCAAGGTCATCTCCATAGGTCCATGGTAGGATTCCAACTGTTGGCTTTAAACTTTGAAGACCTAAATGGCTTGACTCCCAGATTCTCTTCCAAGCAGAACCTGCTCTTCCAGTTGTCATATCCCAATTTGAGGCCTGGAAGGGAGATCCCAAGTGCTTTCCTGTGGTGGCTTCCACTCAGTGACACCCACCCCAGCATCCTTTCAAAAAATTGCTAAGAAGTTGTCTCACAAGGCTTTTGACCTCTTATTGGTGCGATCATCTCCTGAAGCTTGCCATTGCTTCTTTTAATTTTTCAACGTTGAAGTTGTACGTGCTGTCAGAATCCAATTATACTTCATCTCCAGTTATCAATTATAGAAAGCCCCATTTCTGCCTTCTATGGATTCTGTCATACGATGAAGGGAAGGGGTGAACAAAGGGGCTTTATGGCCCTCACTTCCTTTGGTACAACTTCAAAGGGATTGAATGTGGATAGCACCAAAAGGACTTATCATAACAAAGGCTTTCATGTAGTTTTCTCTGAAGTCTCCATCCAGCCGGCAGAAAGGAAAGGGGGTGGGATTGTGATGCCTGAAACTGTCGCTGGAAGAGGGGGGTGATTGGGTGGGACTACTGGGGAACCCCTTAAAACCTCGAATGGGAGAGCTCGAACCCCAAGTCCTGTCTAGAACGCCTGCAACCATTTTCTCTTAATAAAGGATTCCTGTTGGAAGAATTATTCCAAGAGTTCTGTCTTCTTAAGATGCAAAGTGGGGTGGGTCCTTACACCTGCATTTAAAACTTGCTTGTGCAGTGTTTTTACAATGGCAAGCAAGATTTACAGCTGTATGCAAATTAAACCAATACCATTTGCATAGAGAAAGAAAAAAAAACTCTCAAAAGATGAGCCCTAATGAGAAGCTTTCTTTTCTGGTTAAGGATGTCTGGATGTCTCTGACCCAACTCCCTGGGCTGGACAGAAGACCTTACTTTGATTTATTTGCAAAACTTTGGATTATTAATGCCACAGGCTCTCTGAATTTAACTTGAAAGAAAAAGCAGTATCTGAGTGTGCTGCACACCATTTGACACCCCAGCAAATCACACTGACAGGCAGAAATGAGCAATTAATTTTTTGGGAGTGGGTGGGAAAGAAGATGCTTTGATCCACTGGCATTGGGCTGGGTTTCAGCACCATCTCTGGCAAAATGTTTGGTCAGGCCGAAATGTGAAATAGAGTTGGAAGAGACTTGGAGATCTTTTAGACCAGTGGTTCTCAACCTTTTTAATGCTGCGACCCCCAACCGGTTGTAAGTCGAGGACTACTCAACCAGTCGTAAATCGAGGACTACTCAACTGGTGCAGCACCGTTTGCAGAATGGGACTTTTGGCAGGCTCAGCAGGGCAGAGACAGCCTGGACAGTTCCTCTTGGCTTTTGAAAGCCAATAGAATTAGACTCTATTCAAGAGAGTCTATTCTATTGGCTTTCAAAAGCCAATAGAATAAAAGGGAGTAGCACAACTAAGGAAAAGGGGGGGGGGAAATGGCGGACTGCGTTGTTTGGTGACCCCCGTGAAATGGTCGTTCGACCCCAAATGGGGTCCCGACCCACAGGTTGAGAACCACTGTTCTAGACCAACCCTCTGCTTGACCCCTACATCATTTCAGATAAATGGTTCTCCAGTCTCTTTTTGAAAGCCTTCAGTGATGGAGCACCCACAACTTCTGGAGGCAAGCTATTCCATTGGTTGATTGCTCTCACAGTTAGGAAATTACTCCTTAGTTCTAGGTTGCTTCTCTCCTTGGTTAGTTTCCATCCGTTGCTTCTTGTCTTGATTTTGGTGCGTTGGAAAAGATCAAAAGACCCTCCTCATCTTTGTAGGAGCCGTTCAAATATTGGAAGATTGCTATCGCGTCTCCCCCAGTCCTTCTTTTCAGATATACCAATTCCTGCAATCTTTCGCCTCCAGCCCTCTAGTTAATCTATTTTTTCCTCATTACAGGGAATTTTATAAACTCCCAGAAAGAAAACAAGAAAAATCTAACCTAAGCCTATTGCTTAGAGAAAACCACATATGTTCTTCTTGCTGCAATTAACTGTTTTCAGGATGCCCAAACTGTGCTTTGTTTGTAGGGAAAATAAATATTCATTATTTTCTAGCCAAACCAGGTCGATCACCTCATAGGAGATAGGGCAGAGAGATTTTAACTTTTATTTTTAACCAAAACACTTGTCCCCAATTTTTAATATTGTGTTTCTCCATAAAGTCAATTTAGCATGAAAAAAAAGGATTGAATCTATGATATAATTGTTTCTACTGTATTTAGATCCTAATATTGCCCCCCTAACCAAAGGGATTTTATATATGTCTATTCCAAAGTTGTTCAAATTAGAAAATTAACATTGATTGTTGATTCCCAATATTTAATACTTGACAATCGGTAAGCTTGATGATACAGGTCCAAATTACAAAACCTCCCTAATTGCACTTTCTGTAAAGATATTCTCAGAATCAAAGAACCCCATAACATTTTTTCCAAACAAACAGATTTATTTTCTGAAAATAATTTCTAGCTATTTAAACAGGACTTCCTCTCCAAATATAAATTTATCTTGGAAATAATATTCATTTCAAGATAGTCGCCTTTCCTTGTTGAATGACTCCCATCTATCCATATCTAAAAGGAACCCCCTTCTTATATATTTTCTCTATATTGCATATTACTGAGTTACATCTTTGGGTGTGTGCATAACTAAATGTTTAATGGATTGGTACAAATACAGAATTAATATTCTTTAAATGGATGGGTTAACCCAATCTTCGTCTACTGCTATCAACTCTGATCTGGACCAACTGCAAAATGTCTACTTAATTCTCCCAATTTCTTGCCTCGTGACCTTGAAACTGTCTGATGTTGGAGGTTTATTAGATCGTTCCTTTTCATAGTTTAAATTCCTGGTATTGGCCAGTAAAACTGTTTTGAATCTGTTTTTGGCTGTTGGCTTCTCTTAAGGCAGGAAGCAGAGATATATGGCTGGAACAAGGACATCTGTAAAAAGGGAGAGAAAGAGAGAAAGAGAGAGGAGGGGAGGAGATGGTTATCAAATTGGGCAGAGACAGAATTGAAAACAACCCAGTAAAAGAGCAGTTAAAGCAAATTATCCATGTGTGTGCCATAAATTGGTCCATGGGATTGAAGAACTGGTGTTCCAAAGGAAACCAGGCATTCCTGAGGGAGGCATATTTCTTGTAGGCGTTTTCTTTAATGGATTGTCTCTTCTTTTTGTTAACAGCTGGTGGCCTTTGAATTCTGCATAGATGCTTTGAGGTCAATCTGGGACGGGGGAGGCTGTGCTCCCCAAATGGGCTTAGTGGTGTGCATTTTCAAAGAACGAACAAACTAGTGGAGTTGGGTGGAAGAAAAAGAGATGAAGAGTAGCCATTTCTTAAATTCTCCCCCCTTCCTTCCTTCTTTCCTTCCTTCCTTGCTTGCTTCCTTCCTTCCTTCCTTCCTTCCTTCCTTCCTTCTTTCCTTCCTTCCTTCCTTCCTTTCTTCCTCCCTCCTCCTCCCCTTCCTCCCTCCCTCCCTCCCTCCCTCCCTCCCTCCCTCCCTTCCTTCCTTCCTTCCTTCCTTCCTTCCTTCCTTCCTTCCTTCCTTCCTTCCTTCCTTCCTTTTCACTTTTAAAATGTCCTCCATATTTTTGACTGTTTGCAGAACAGTCTGCAATTAGAAGCTTTATAAAGAAATGAAAACTAATGCAAACTAATACAAAGTAGAAAGAACAAAGAAAGAATGAAAGTGTTAAAAAACCAAATAGAAAGTAGCCTCCAATTTCCCATGCAGCAAATATAAATGCAATTACATAATTATCTCTATGGTTACAGAAGAAGCTACCCTTTTTCTATTACCCTTCCCCCCCCCAATCATCAAAACCACAAGTCATAAGTGCATTTTTCCCCCTGTTTTGTGCAAAATGTCTGTCAGGAATTTCCGTTCAATCATAAATGTAGACATTGTTCTTTTTCCCCCTCTGATCAAAATAAGCCAATTTAGCTATCTCTGCAAGTTCAATCATCTTCACCCAAGGAGAGCTGCACTTCCTGGGATGCTCATATGTGAAGCTGGCAGCTACGTCCAGTCCAGTTAGGGAGAGAATGTTGAATTTTAATGATTCAAAACTGGGCATGAATCATCCTTCATTCATCCTATTTTATTCTGTTGAATGAGAGGTGCTCCTTTTTCCTCCCCGCCCCAGAAGATTCTTCTTCTTTTAACGGTTTTCACTAGACTGAAGTGTCTATCAAAATATCTTTGAACTGCATCTTGAGGTTTGAACCTTTACACAATCCTACACTGAATCTTCATTTCCGGAGTGAATTCATTCTCTTCTAATGACCTTAACAAAGAAGTGACATGCTTTTAAGACTCAGCTGAAGCTGAAAAAGTGGCTACTATTCTAGCCTATTGATGTAATAATATGTCCTTGGAATTTTCTTTACTAAGCCTGTAGCTGTGTCTCGGATTCCCACTGGCACTTTTCTTGAAAGAAGCTTATTTACTGGCAATGCTGTCAGTATTTTGGGCATCA